TATATATATATATAATTGAACTTATTTATTTAAATATTTACATGAGCATAGAATTCAATCATAGCAGGCAGCTGCTGTGGTAAACTCAGGTTTACTTCTCATGGCTGTGATGGGTCTGACATTCCCAGCAGTTCTTCACTTTACGCACTCAGAGGTACAGTATGGAAAGTCTGAAGTTTCCCTTTCAAGATTCAGCAGTTGCATTATGCTTGTGGCATACGCTGGATATCTTTTTTTTCAACTCAAAACTCGACACAACATGTATAGTTTAATTGAAGAGGTCAGTCATCTGATCCTGCTCTAATCTTGAAGGGCTTAGTATTTGATATTCAATCCTTTCATATCCCGCCGAATTTAAGTTGCTTAGTTTCTTTCATATGAAACTTTTAACAATTACACTTATTAGAGTAGTAGAACTGATCAATAACAATTTATAATATATTTCTCTGTAAATAATGCTCTTTTTGTGGTTGTATAAGGTATTCATTAGCAGTTTCATATAGTTCGATAGGTTGCTTGATTAACTCATTACTTATGGTGATAAAAATTATTCGTTTACTCTTTTAGGTAGCATGTTTGAAAATATTCAATCACTCCATATCATTATCTTGAGGAGCAGCAGCTGCATTGCCCCAATTGTTTGCCATTGGTTTTTTTAAGTCATTTTTCCTAATTGAATTCCTATAATTATATATATTTTATAAATCTAGTTTGCGCATTATCTTTGTGCATTCGGTTTGCTGAGGAGGGAACGAAAGTGTCTTTTTTTATGGAATTACTAAAATTTTTAACCTCTCATTTTCTTCTGTCATTATTTTTAGGTATGAAACCTGAATTCTAACCAATTAACGCTGTATGCTGTTGTTTCTCCAACATCTTTAAACCTTTTTGAGGGAAAAAAAAAAAAAAAAAAAAAAAGGAAATTCCAGCTGGTTCTTTCATGCCTTGGCTCTATTACCTTTTGAATTCGCATCGAATTTTATAGTGTAATATTCTTGTTAAGCTTCCGTCGAGAAAATAAAAACAAAGCGACGTCAATATTTTGAATGATTTTCCATCATTAGTTTAAAAAATTTTTATTGTCCATTTTTCTTTGATCACCCTAATGATTGAAAAAGACGTGTTTTTTGTATTTTAAATAAGAATCTTTATTAATACATTGATTTGATGCATTGCAATTAATTACATTTTGATTAATCCTTTCTCTGTTGTTTACTTAGAATATGATGGATATATTTTGTTATGATAGTAATCCTTTTCAACCGTTTTTCTCACTTTTAATTTAGATTAATATTTCTTTATTTTATTAAATTGAATGTTTTGTGCTAAAGATGGATGGAATGGACGGAGTTTAGGAAAACTAAAATGCTAAGGTAAATGCAATAAAAGTAAAGTGTGTAAAATTAGGTGCGGAGAAAATGCAAGAATGATATTCACAGGAAAAAGTAATAAAAATAGATTTTATCATTTTATTAATATTAAAGAAGTGGAGTGTTGTATTAGATAGTCGACAATCAACATAAAGTTTTAGTAAAAAAATCATAACATGAATTTATTAAATCTTTTTTTAAATGCTAGACGCCCCCTGGAACCGACGCACTTTATGATCTGGATACAGTGAAAAGTGTGCAGGGGCTGCTACCTCGACGCCTGGGTGTAGTATCAAATAAGCAAGAATTTTCACATTACGGATGGATGTTGGCAAAGTAGTTAGTCCATGAAACTAGTATTTGGATAAAATTTTAGAATATAGGTACTCATAGGTAAATTAATGAAATTAGAAGATATTATGATTCATAGGAAGATAAGTATTTTATGTATTCAAGGAACTAAATGTGTTGGAGGAAAGTTTAAGGAGATTGATAGCTTAAATTTTTAACTTTTCTATTCAGGTAGGAGTCACACTAGAAATGGTGTAGGTGTAATTAAAGATAAGAGTTTGAAAGATAATGTTGTAAAAATTAATAGAATTAAAGATAAAATTATAACCCTAAAGATTTTGGTTGATACTAAAATTTTTAATGTTATAAGTGTTTATGCTCTCCAAGTTTAGATATAAGTTCAAAAGAAAATTCTTGAATAACCTAGAACAATTAATATAAATGATACTTTTTGATGAAAATAGTTTTAGTGGAGGAAATTTAAATGTACATGTTGGTGGAATGATAGAAAATTTTAGAAATATTCATAATGCTTCAATTTTGAAGTGATTAATGAAGAAGGTTGAAACAAATTTGATGTTGTTTTAGCATATGATTTTGTTATTATTAATATTTTATTGAAGAAAAGATATGAACATATTGTTACTTATAAGAATTGATCTAATAGAACACAAATAGATTATTTTCTTATAAGAAAAAGAGATCGTCGAGAATGTAAACGAGAATGTAAAGATTGTAATGTAAGGTCATTCCAAGTTAAAATTTAAGTACTCAACATCAATTATTAGTTTTGAATTTTAAGATGAGAAGTTGAAAGATAAAAAATACAATGAAATATTTTTATGAAATTAGATGGGGCATTTAAAAGACAAATAAAATTATTTTATTAGTAAATTTCAAGATTTTAAGATTTGAGATGTTGATAAAGAAGCTAATTCTATGTGAGATAAAATTATAAACACTATTAAACAAGTGATAAAAAATGTACTTGCAGAATCAAAATGAAAAATTTTTATAAATAAAAATAGCTGGTGGTAGAATAATAATATGCAAGAAAAGATAAAGTATTAAAAGTTGTATTTTAAAAATTGGTTTAAATGTAAAAAGCTTAGAGAACTAAAAAAAAATAAGTTAGTCTGCAAGGAGTCTAAGAGAACAATTTGTCACGCGCTAAAAATTCTGTTTTTAATAATATTTATAATAGATTATATACTAAAGATAGTGAAAAATATACGTATAAACTAGTCAAACAACGAGAAAAAAGAAAAGTAAGAAAATTCATTTAAGTGTATTAAAGATGAAAATCAAAATGTGTTTTTCTTAGGGGAAGATATTTAATATAGGTGGGTGAGCTATTTTGATAAACTTTTAAATAAAGTTTCTGAAAATGCAATTAATCATAGTGTTCTTAATATCGTTTATAATAATAAAATATTTTATTTTACCCTCACATTAATAAAAAAAGTTGAGTAAACTTTAAAGAAAACTAAGGGAGGAAAATCAGTAGGAACTGATGATATCCCAATTGAAGTATGGAAGTATTTATGTGATTTGAGAGTTTCTTGGCTTACAAAAGTCTTAATTTTATTTTAAAAAATAGAAAGATGTTTAAGGAGTGGAGGAAGTGTATTTTGATACCTATTTTTAAGAATAAAGGCGATGCACAAGAGTATGAAAATTGTAAAGGAATTAAGTTGACGTGTCATACTTTAAAATTATGGGAGCGAGTTATTGGACATAGGTTAATACGTGATACAAGGATTTCTCATAATCAGCTTAGATCTATGCCTGGCAGGTCACTATAAAATCTATACACTTTTTGAGAGTATTTTTCTATTTCAGTTGGATTACATCTGGGATCAGCTTTAAGCCTGTATCTTTTTGCTTTAGTTTTGGATGTCGTACTAGACACTTACAGGAAAATGTACCTTGGTGTATGCTTTTCGCTGATGATATCCTTCTTATGGATAAGCCTACAAAAAGTGTTTAGGAAAAACTTGAATTATGGAGGTGTACATTGGAGTCTAAAGGCCTTCGTTTGAGTAGATCTAAAACTGAATACATGGAATGTAACTTTAGTAGTAGTAGCTCTAGTGTTACTTGAAGGAAAATTTTATAAGATGGTGATGAGATCTGCAATGCTTTACAGTTCAAAATGTTTTCCTTTAAAAGAGAATCGTAAAACAAAAGTAAAGGGTTGCTGAGATTAGAATGCTTAGGTGGATGGGTGGCTTGACACTTAGAGACAAAATGCAAAATGAATATATCGGTAAAAGGGCTAGTGTAGCCCCAGCGCTATTTTTAAGAATAAAGGCGATGCACAAGAGTATGAAAATTGTAAAGGAATTAAGTTGACGTGTCATACTTTAAAATTATGGGAGCGAGTTATTGGACATAGGTTAATACGTGATACAAGGATTTCTCATAATCAGCTTAGATCTATGCCTGGCAGGTCACTATAAAATCTATACACTTTTTGAGAGGTTTGATGGAGAAGTACAAAGAGAATAAGGAGGATCTACATATGATTTTTATTGATTTAGAAAAAGCATATTTTAAGATTTCAAGAGAAGTCCTTTAGAGAGTTCTAGAGAAGAAATGTGTTGATATTACTTATATTCAAGTCATTATAGATATGTATGCTAAAGATGTTACTTGTGTTCAAACAAAAGGAAGATTGTGAAGGAGGATTGACCAAGTATTTTCCCATTTCAGTTGGATTACATCAAGGATCGGCTTTAAGCCTGTATCTTTTTGCTTTAGTTTTGGATGTCTTACTAGGCTTTTCGCTGATGATATCCTTCTTATGGATAAGCCTACAAAAAGTGTTCATGAAAAACTTGAATTATAAAAGTCTACATTAGAGTCTAAATGGAGTCTAAAGGCCTTCGTTTGAGTAGATCTAAAACTGAATACATGGAATGTAACTTTAGTAGTAGTAGCTTTAGTGTGAGAGTTGTAATTATGGGTGATCAAATCATTAAAAGGTGTGACGTTTTAGATATCTCGGGTCTATTGTTCAAAGGGATGGTGATGTAGATGAGGATGTTATTAGTATAATTCAGGTTGGTTGGTTGAAGTGGATGAATGCATTTGGCGTATTGTGTGATGGAAAATAATTGCTTACACTTGAAGGAAAATTTTATAAGATGGTGATGAGATCTGCAATGCTTTACAGTGCAAAATGTTTTCCTTTAAAAGAGAATCGTAAAACAAAAGTAAAGGGTTGCTGAGATTACAATGCTTAGGTGGATGGGTGGCTTGACACTTAGAGAAAAAATGCAAAATGAATATATCGGTAAAAGGACTAGTGTAGCCCCAGCAACGGACAAGATTAAAGAGAGTCGTATTAAATGGTTTCGTCACATTAAATGTCGACCATCTAATGATCTGGTTAGGAGAGTAGCTATTTTAGGTTAGATTTATGTTAAGGAATGCAACTGTAGACATAAAAAGACAGGGGCATATTGTAAAAAAAATTGATCTTAATCTACTAGAATTAAATGAAAATATGACACTCAAAAGGATGTAGTGGAGAAAAAGGATTTATGCAGCCGACTCTACTTAGTGGGATAAAGGCTTGTTGTTCTTGTATTCATTCTGAAGAAGACTACAATAAGCTTTGTGATGGCTAATAACGTAGTTAGTAGGAAACAAGGAATAGATAGGAAATAATTTGACTGAAGTTTTATAAATATGTTAAGAACTACACTGCAGTGCTCTTAGTGGCAAGGATGGAGAAAGAAGTTTGAAACTTTGGCTGATATTTGTTTAGGCATTGTTGTTTATGTTAATGGCAATTTAACTTTTTTCATTTTATTCAGTTTCTGTTGTTCCCAGAAAATACACTTGTGATAAGTTTTTTCATTAAGTCAGAAAAGGCTGCTTTATTTCGTTTCTTTCTTCTTTACAAATCATATTTCGTAGGCTGGTTTTTAGTTTTGAATTAATGTTCTTATACCTTTTGATCATTTGCTGTCATTGTAGGAAGAGAGACAAAGTGATGATGTTCCAGATGAGGTGGATGTTCCTGAGATAACTCTTTGGGAATCTATAGCATGGCTTGCTGTTTTAACTTCTTGGGTTTCTATTCTCTCTGGATACCTTGTTGATGCGATTCAGGTAGAAAAAGTTTTGGTGCATATTTAGCTTTTTTCATTTTTTGATGCTTTTTTTTTTTTCATATTAGATTGTTTTGTTTCTGAAATTTGAATTTCAAATAGAATTCATAGGAAGATAAACAATGGGCAGAAGTTATGCATTGGGATGGTAAACATCATCAACATTGAAAAATATACTGACACATGAGTTTTATACTCAGGAAAATGAAGATTTGCTGATAGGAAGAGTTGTCTTATTAGTGACTCCAGTTTTCATCATATAACTTGAGCAGAAATTCACACAGCGCATTTAAACTTTGCTAACTTGCGTATGATAGTGTTGATGGTTATGCTTCAATAATTCAACAACGCTAGAGTCCATTCGAGTAGAGCTTTTTTTTTTCTTGTTTCTTGCTAGTTTTGTTTTAATGAACTATTAGACTTATGATTTTATGTTCTGCTATCTTAAATCAAAAACTTGCTATAGCTATGTTATTCAAATGATTTTTCTTTGAGCTTGAATATCAGGAATGTCTTTGATGTAAATTTTGAGGTCCTTGTTGTGGGCTTCAAAAATTCAAAATACCTCAGACTCTCGTCTAGAGCCTATGTGTCAAGTCCTGGTCAAATTTTCAAAAGGTTGATATTATAGTAGATAAGACACTACCTAGATATTTCACCCTCATTTTGTGAGGACTTTAAGATCTGGAGTTTGAGGTTTCCCATATATGCAAGCCCCTATAGTTAATTACCTCTCCTGATAAACAGTTTCAATTAAAGCTAGTCGTTAGATGCTAAGTATTTAGATTTACTATATAGTAGCAACAAATTTATATTTTTAAATTGTCAAAATATCCCTATGAGCTTAAAGTGAATGGTGGGAGAGACATTGATGAGGCCAATCAAAATCTTATTGTTTCGTCATCTCAAGTTGTCATGATCCCTGGTGTGCTTAGTCAACAGAGGTAGTCAACCCAACATGAGCGAATAATCTTTGTCAGCAGCAATGGGTAGCTTCGTCCAAGGGAACTTTGTAGACCTGAGGTGAATATTTATCTAAAGGGACTAATCTAAGTCAATCCTATCTTACAGAGAGCTTTGTGCTCTATTAAATATACCTAATTATTCTCAAGTAAAATGGACAAACTATAATTGAGGAACACACGGATTACAATCGTGACATTAATATAATGATGCTATTAGGCGATAAATCATCATGTTATAAGGCTCTTATCATAGACATTTTTTTGTGGTCAGAGGACTTGCTGTCATATTGAATATAATCTATGATTCATAACCCAAAAGAACACACTATCATTGAAGAATACATCATCAACAATTGTGACTGTAGTATGATGATGTCATTGGATTGCGACCATGCAGTTAGAGGGCTCTGGTCCTAACCCTTATTTGTGTTGTCATTTGACAGTAAAACCACGAAAACAGAAGTCTCAGACCACATCCTTACTGACTTGGGATTCTTTTTATCTTCAAGTTAGTAGTATACTTAATATAACATTGATTATTTGTGAGCTTGAGTCAACATTGAATTTGTCCACCTCAACAAACAGTTATGGAAAGTGTATGGATTTTGCTTTTTGCCTTCGTTGGTATAATTTCATTTGATTGTTTTTATAAATTCTATAATTTAAAATTTAATATTTATCTATAGATCCTCTATTAAGAAGTGCAATGAATATGCTCTTCATAAGGATAAGTTATAACTTAATTATTTTTAAAACTAATAGTTATGTCAACTCTATTCCGACGATCATACTGACATATTATGAGCTCAATCTTGTCAAATGTAGTTCTAATTAGGCTGAGAATTAGTCTAGCTCAGTTGATCCTCAATCTTGTTAAACTTCGATCCCTTTAGGGAGGAGAAGTGAATTGTCCAAAGTGTGGGACTTACGATCTTGCCCTTGTATAAACACTGAACAAATTGGTCGGAGCATATGCGGAATTTAATACTTTATAGTGCATGATTATATGCTTTAATTGCATGAACTTTGAAACTTTCAATGTTTTTTAAGGTGGTGTGCTTTAAATTAATAATCTCGTGCATAAATCTTAAAGCATTTAATGTTCTTCAAGATGGTGTATTTGACTTGATGCTGATTGGCTTGGGGAATTTGTAAAGCTGGAGCGTGCAAGATTTCATGTTAAGGCCCTAAAGTTCATCTTTTGCCTGTTATTATAAATATGGTGCAAATTTGGTGGCTTGCGTGCAAAATTTTGCCCAAAGTCATCTAGTGAAATACTTTCTTTCTGCTTTTATTTGTGCTGCGGATTCGGTGATGATTATTTATATTATATTATGATTGTGCATTTTAAATATTTTATTTACTCCCACAATGTTCATTTGAGTGTTTAAATGGACCCACATAATTATAATTTGTGATTTTAAGCACTTTGATTAAACGATAGAAAATCTCATTTGCATTTTATAGGCGAGCTAGTATGTTCACCACATGTTTCATTCGAGCTCGATGATGAGTCGTCGAGTCCATTGTAAGTTGTGTGGGTCTAAATTATATTCAACTTTTTTATCTTGAGATGATTTGTATAATAATTTTACATCTTGATTTTGTTCTTAATTTGCAGTGTAAGAGCTTTATTTTGATTGCATGATTATCCAACTAAGTTCAATTTAATTTCTCTTTTATGACCAGAGTTTAGACAAAAACTAGACAACATTTCGGCAGCCTTGGCATGTTCCCTGTTTGGAGAGCTACCTCACAGAGTTGATGCATTCCTACCATGCTTAAAAAAAGCATGCATACTTAAGTGTCCCTCAACAATATGTCTTAGGAGTCTTTGAAACCCACCATGCTTAAAAAGCATTGCTTGCGGCTTTGTGTACCTGCACCAAAAATAACACACATGAACACGCAACTACTCCCGCCGCGCCGATACGACACGGACGGGTTTTTAACCCGCAATGCTTAAATAAACAGACATGGAGTTTGAGAAACTTGCATGAAAGAGAATACATAAGCATAAAAATTTTCTCGCGACATTGGAATAAAGTGCACGAGTACTTATGTGTGACTGCCCATCTTTTTTTATGCAACTCATGTATAAATCTCCTTCCATTTTCTTTTAACCGCTGCTCTTTCTTCCCCCAAATGTTATCAAGCATGTATCGTAACGTTGGACATAACCTTGACTCAAGACTGACCCAAGGTGCATCAAATGACTCCAAATTAACCAGGTCCCTCCATCTTAAGACTATAATGCCTTCTCATTTTCATCTTCATAGGCATGTTAGAGGAGAGTCGCCATTCCTAAAATTCCATCAACATTACGCATGATCTTCTTTTATCTCTTCAACCCCTTGACATCTTATATAGTTCAGTCAGCATATCCCACTGATCCATTTTCTTCACATGGTTGCATGTGCTATATTATGGTTGCATGCTAATTCCTATGAGAGCATGATATGTCATCTAACATTTTGATTACCTTGGTGAATTTGGTTTACTGCTGACAATTGTTTTGCTTCAGCTCTTAAAGATTTCTGAGTGCAGCGAGCTTCTAATCCCTTTTTGTCAACTTATTGGATCCATTTTTATAACTCTAGAAGTTGGTTATATGTGCTATAGGGGTGTTTGATGTTATGTTATAGTGATTTATTAAGGCCTTATGCTTTTGTGATTATTGATTGGTCTTATTAGCCGATGATAGTGCTATTGGATTCATGTTTGGTTTGGTGTTTCACATTTTGCACATGCTTGTCTCTAGCTCTCCTTAAATAAGCCAGCTGCTTCAACAGCCCAATTCATATGTTTCTTCACTATTTACTTCTCAAAATTTTCTTAATTGGCTATTGTTGTTTTCTACTACTTCGGTTTTGCTAGCTATGCTAAGCATAATTTGATTTTGGCTTTTGAGACTTATTCTTTTTGAATCAAAGTTTCTTTTGCTAAATCATGGTCAATTCTTAATTTAATTACATTTTACAATGAGTCATGTTTCTTTTTTTTTATGCACTGTGCTATACAGTTAATTGAAAATATGACACTCAATAGGATGCAGTTGAGAAAAAGGATTCATGTAGCGGACCCCACATAGTGGGATAAAGGTTTGTTGTTGTTGTTGCACTATGTTACACAATTTTGGATTCTTTTCAAACTTGTGTGTTTCATTGGATATCTGTTTAAAGTCTTGATGATAATTTTTCATAGATGTTTTTCTTTGTACTGTCATGTGACTTAAATCTTCAATTTTGGGATTTCTATTATTGTTTCTTTTTTTAATTATTTTGTAATTTTGTGTGAGTGATTTTCATTTTGATGAGTTTATTACATATTGGTTTTCTTTATTGTTGAATTTTAATCGTTGTAGAATTTTATATGATCTCATTTATATAGTGTTCTATATAAATGCAACATATGTATTTTTGTTAGACTAAAATAAATGTGTTCTATAGTTTTACGTTAAGATTGTTAATCACTGCGTAAAATAAGAGATGGGGAACTAGAAATTATGTTTTTTTGCATATTTTTTTGTGCATCTCATCTTAGGTTAGTATTAGTGAATCATAAACTTTAAGATAGTATTTGGTTATTTTTTATTTTTATTTTTATATTTGTAACGTTGTCTTGGGAAAAGTATTTCTATTATTGAAATGGTTCTTATTTTTTATTTTTATTTTTATATTTGTAACGTTGCCATATGGGAAAAGTATTTCTATTATTGAAATGGTTCGCTCCTTTCTACGGGAAATGGAGTATAAATGATCTTTTAGCACTTGAGTTCTAAGAAACACTCTGTTTTCTACCTATATCAACATACCAATGCCATGGTCTGGTTTAATTCATATTGTTTTGCCGTCCAATTTAGACTTATGAACCTCTTAACTTGTTATTAAGCTATGGTTATGTCATTTCACAAAGAAGAAAAAGAATCAACCGCCTATCGGACTTTTGTAATCCATTGTTTTATATGAAAATTAAATAAGATGTCTAATTAAAATAATTCAACAAAGTTATGCTTAACTTGGAATGGCAAATTATA